CCACCCGAGCCAGCCCTGCAGTGGCAGGGTTCAGCTCGGCCAGGGCCCCCCAAGTCCACGGTGGGGCAATGCGGGGTGGAGAGAGGGGGGAGGCGGCAGGTCCCGGGACTGACGTCCCTGTCCCCAAGTCACTCACCCCTAGCAAGGAACCAAGTGCCTACATGAAGGGCGACCAGCCCCCCCGGTCCTGGCCGGGGGTGGCATCCCGGCTCGGGGACCCCCCCAGGGCTGTGCCGGGGGTCCGGGCACGCCGTCTGGGGGAGGAATGCCAGTTTTTGCCAACGCTTGCGCCCCCCTTTCCCGCATGGCACGTGTTCTCGTGGGGCCGCTCGCCCACTGCATGCTATTCCTCGCCCAGCCCAGCCACAGCCCCCCCCGGCCCCGCACCCTGGGGTGCCCTGAGCACCCGCTATGCCCCTGCTCCTGCGCACCCCCTCAGCACCCCCCATCAACCTCCGCTGGACGCAGCACCCCTTCCCCCTCCCCGCCGTGCGGTGACTGGCGTGGGGCTGACTCCCCTCTCCCTGCATGGCCAAGCTGCAGGGGGGATGCAGGAGCCAGCAGGCCTGACGCCACACCGATGGGCTCCCTGCACCACCACCCCCTTTCTGGGGACAGCAGCTGCTCCCCAAAGCTCTGGGACAGGCTGGGGGGTACGGGGTGCCTGCAGATGGGTGGGGGGGCTTTGCTCTGCGTGTGTGTGTGTGTGTGTGCACACCTGGGAGCGTATGTGCATGTGCACGCGTGTGCATACCCGCGGGAGCTGCCTGTGTCCCCCGCCCCGCTGCGGCGGTACCCATGGGGTACCCACGGGGTGCCCACACCCCAGCACCCCCTCCTCCATCCTGCCAGGTCTTGAATAAAATCCATCGTGCGAGCGCTGTGCCGGGCGCCTCTTCTTGCACGTGGGTGGCAGGTCGGTGGTGGCAGCGGCATGTCCCCCCCGCCGCGTCCCCGCAGGGTGACAGCGAGGCTTCGGCCCTTATCTCACATTCCTGGGGCCGGGGTGCCTAATTATGGGCATCTGGCGGTGGCGGTGGTGGCAGGAGGCCGGCCCCCTCCCCGCGGTCGGGGCTTTGGGGGGCGCGGGCGGCAGGCGCCATGGCCTCGTTCAGCTCAGCCTCCGCGTACCGCGCCGAGCGCATCGGCACCTACGGCCAGGGGCATGGCGAGCCCCGCTTCGAGGGTGACCGGCGGCACGGCCCCTTCGGGGTGCGGGCACACGAGGCCTTCGGGTACCCAGGTACTGGGGACGGGGGGGTGGGGGTCCCTGCTACCCCAGGGAGGGTCCCCCCAAGGGTTATCCCGCTGCCCTGTGCCTGGGCACAGTGTGGGACCCACCAGCACAGACTGGGGGGGGCTGGGGGGAGCCCTGACTGCCCCCCAGGTGCCCCATGGCTCTCTGGACTCTCCTCCAACCCTCTCCCCCCAGTCCCTTTGTGCCCCCCCGACCCAAGTCCCCGGTATCCCCAATGTCCCTGCTGTCCCCAGGCCTCCCATGCCCCCAGCTCCCCCCTCCCCAGGCCCTTCTGAGCCTCCCAGTGGCCCCAGACCCCTCCATGTCCCTTCCTGCCCCTCCCAGACCTTCCTGGCTGTCCTTATGTCCTCAGCCCCCCTCTAACCCTCACCCCTCCGCATCACCCGCTCTCG